TGTGTTCTATGATTGCTCTTTTCTTTTTTTTTCTTTTCTTGGCCTGCATGTTTGCTACTACAGGAACCTGCTTGGGAAATCAATGGCAACAGAACAACCTTCAGCCCTCTAACTAACACGGCGACTGGGCCTGTGGGTAGTGGTTTAGCAACCAATGGAACGTTTTCAGGCTACCTCAACCAGCAAGAGATCAGCTTTTCAAATAGTTCTTCCTCCTTAAAGACTACCACAGTTAGATCTTCCATGTCCTCTCAGTCTGTGACTCCTGACATTTCACCTGCAAAGAGCACTCTAGGTTCCAAGCCAAGCCCCGTGCTGGCTGGTGGCAATAGCCCTGCACACCAGCTGAGCCCTGCAAGGCAGTATAACAACCCCATTGGCCTTTACTCAGCAGAGACTCTCAGGGAAATGGCTGAGATGCATAAATTAAGTCTCAACCGAAGGGCTTCAGAAGGTGGACTTCCTAGAGGGTAGGTAACGTATTTAATATTTGAATAAGTAATGAATTTGCTGAAAAATGAGTGTAATAGTACCTACCCTATTGTGCTTTTATCTGGTAATCATGATTAAGGTGTGGAACAATCATTAAATTTTCCAGTAGCCCCCAAGATATATCCACATTATCATCACAGGATAAGTCTTGTGCTTTGGTATCTGAAGATGGGTTGGCAATAGTCACCAGAGCATGAGGAGGAACACTAGGACTGAAGTGACTGTGATCATCTTGGGGTTCTGACACTCAGCAGTTTTTACTGATGCCTGCAGTCTCACAGAACCAAGTGTTGCTGTTGGCCCTTAGAGCAGCTGCTGTCAGCCAGGTCTGATCTTTGGTTCTTTGCTAAAGACAAATGTCTTGGACCAGCAGATCTGATGTTCTCGGCTACTGGAATGTCCTGCTGTAATTTCCTACCTTAATGTATTGGCTTTTCTATGCAAAATGAGTCAAAATTGCAGTATTTTGGACATTATCTGGTTTGGACGTTGTCTGTCTTGCATCCATTAGCTTTGCTGTTAACTTGTATGTACCCAATGAACAATCTGCAGATAGTTTGACCCCATGCTGTCCAAGGTTTCACATATTACTCTGTTGCAGATCAACTGTTTTGTTAGAAGGTTTGTAAAATGAGGACCTTGGACTACAGTACGTGAGAAAGAGCAATGAGAAACAGGTTTTCCTAATTTTCCTGCCTTCGTGTATTAATTGGCAAACAAATGTAATTTTTTAGTTTATTTGTGTTTTGGATTTTTTTTTTAATGAAGATGAATTTCTTATTATGAATATGGGGAAACGTGTACTTTTGACACTAGGGACTTGGCTATATAAGGAAAACCAGAAAATTTAGACAGTCCACTGAGGTCTGATAGCAAATGCATATCTTCAAGTACTTTATATCTCTTTGAAGGAGCTCTTTGCAAGAGAAAACCAAGGGGTTTTAAGTTGTAGCAAACTAAGGATATTTTATCCTTATAAAAGAGCATAAATACGTGTTCTAGATGATTCAGGCAGTTTATATGATTCATTGTAACTCTCTTGAGGACTCGGCATTAACAATCCTAATTAAGTTATCTGCAAAAATCTTATCCTCCCTTCTCATACTTGGATAATTAAGAAAAGCAATTACTGTTTAGAAGAAAATTATTTCAGTTAACAAAATCAGCAAAATAAACCTCAGAATGCTTCTCTCTTAATTTATAATTTTCTTGAAGAATACTAATCCTTGTCTTTTTTTCAATATGCAGAGTTTCCTGGGAGTATATCTCACTGTCTTTTTCCCATTATCTTCACAACCCTCCTTAACATCTGCAAGGGTGATGGTAAAGTGACTGTATTTTGGATAGCTCAGCATTGTGACTTTGTTATCAGAATTACAACACAGCTGCATCCATCACTCATCAAAGTCTATGTGAGCCTTTCTTTTCATGCCAGAGGGCATTGCAATAGGGCTACATGATATCACAGTGATTAGTGGGGTGCAAAAAAGATGTACCTGCAGAAAACACTTCCCTGTCTTCACTCTGCTGCTTTTTTGTGTTTTATGTCCCCTTTATATGTGAACATTTTAGTGCATGCCTGTGGCAGTGCCCTGAATTACAAAGCAAAGTTCTACCTTAGAACAACCATCTGAGATTTTTATTTTTTTTTAGTTTGACCACAATTTTGGAGAGTTTCTGTCTATCTGCCTGTAATATCTGTAGCACTGATAAGCAAATAAGAAAGTTTTAAAAATCAGCTTTATTCTGCAGCCCAGGAACATTCTGGAAAGATGAAAGTGCCCTGAGGGACTAAATAATGTGTCTTCTCAGGTAACTCTTCTGAGATCTCTGTTTACTTGCAGAGAAAATTCAGAGCTCAGGAATGCTGTCATTCCCACTCCCACTTGACTGTTACCCATGAACTGAGAGGCATCTCTCCTGCTCTCTGGAGAATAACACACAGAACCTGTAACTACCTTGGGACTTGGTATTATCCATGATAATCTCAATCTCATAGTGGATATTTGGGATAGAATGCACAGGGAAAGCACTGTGAGCTCTGCAAGATCAGCTCTTGACTTCGTTGGGGACATTCTTATCGTATAGTAAAACATGAGATGCTGTGTAAAGATTGTGATATCATGGTGCTCCAGCTGTGAATTCATTGTGAATTCATGAACTTGTGCTTAGTGTGGTAAAAGTTGTTAGAAAAATTCAGGTGTGGGGGCTGATCTTAGGTATATTTCATATTTCAATACCATGTCCTTTTCACTAAATGATTTAAACTTGTGTGAATTGCTACTAGAGGTTTAGCTAAATCCTCCGGAAAATTCTATCAAGGAACTAAAATTAATTTTAAAATTATTTCCTCGATCTGTGAAGAATAGCAAAGCACCTGTCTCTCTGATACACTTTACATTAAAGCTTTATCACCTTGACCCAGGGTAAAAATTGGTGGCCTGTTAAGAGCGTGCTGTGATGTGCTGGAAGCTCTGGAGAGTATTAATAAATATGAAGAGTGAGTCATAGTTTGTAACGTGGATCTTTTTCATTCCAGTGTGAGTTACTTTTCACATTGTAGGTCAAGGGCAGTAAATACCTGTCCCACAAGTGCATGCCAGGTGATTTGGGTTACTGGCTTCTCACCCTGTGACCTCTGTGAGCAGCAACTTGGGTGTTTCATACATGTCCATATTTAGAATCAAACTAAAGTAATGTGTGGCTCTGAACTGGGGGGAATTTTCTCATCACATATGAAACATAAGGAGAAGCAAAGCTTTATTCTTTCTGAAGGAAGCTGTAGTAGCCTCTTTGCATCTCAAAAGCTTGACTGAGCTTTTCTTAGTGTGTGCACATAATGATTTTTATCTTTTAACATTTTTATATGCAAACGTATTCCTCTAATTAAGTTGTATTTTAGGGATGGTTGTTCTGCCTTTAAAATATTATTTTATATGTAAGGTAGAGGCCTGGAGTAGTCAGAAAATGATACTATTACATTGTTTCTTTGTAAATAATTCCAGCTGTCCTGCATAAACCTGAAATGGATATAGGATCACTAATGTGCTTACAGGCTGAAGCTTGTTCCTAATATACCTCTACCAGTTCCTGTAACAAACTGATACATTTGGCTTAATGTAGGATTTTTATCTGAGAGTCTGACCAGTAGCTGCAGAAGGTGATCTGTGATATTGTTTTACCGTGAAAATGCAGAAATGCAAAGCCTTTACTACAGCTTGGCTCATTAGAGTGGCTTTGATCATGAAAAAGGCTGTTGGATGAGCCAAGGGAAAAGGACTGTATGTAGAAAGAAGCAGTAATATCAAAGGTTCTGCCAGGCAAAAGCAGAAGGAGACAAATCCACTTGAGATGTCAGCATAACTTTGCTGTCCAGTATTTTCTGTCGGTCCCAGATACAGAAATGTCACAGCAGCAAGTTGGAAGGTTCAGTGCCCAGTTCTGTCACCAGCATTCTGTGCAGCTAAGTAAGAAGAAAAGTTTATTAACTGATCCTGGATCTCTTCCTCTTTATTTTGCACAAAATAAAATGGATTAGTCTTCAACCAAGAAAAGAGCAAAATGTGGGTATTTTAAGCTTTGGGAAAAACTAAGTTAAAATAAACATCCTAGCCCATTACTGCTATTTGTTATTAGCAAATACACCACAGTCCAGTGTGAGCACACTGTTCATCACTCCCAGCTTTAGCTGGTTTGTGCTGCTTTGGAATTACTGTGCAAGCCACTGTCACTCCTTTATGCAGCAAAGCAGAAATGTAGCATGAACAGGTGGTTTTCTCATACTGTATACATACCAGACCAATAAAATATCCTGATACCCATATCCCAAAAAACACATAATGCACAGCTTGCTTCATTTCACATGGAATAAAATTAGGAATGACTATTCTGAGGCTAATTGGCTTACACCACTGTTGGCATAATGTAAGTACAGTCAGATTTAAGCCAATACTTTGTTAAATACAAAGGCATTTTCCTTAGCTTTAGATTTAAAACATCTACCAGTGTATTTTTTGGATGTTCTCCAGCATGTAAAAGACCAAAAAATCAGTCTTGCAAAACCAACTCTGAAGGTGGCCTGAGGAGAACAGACTTCATCCCTGAATATTTAGTATCTAGGGGGAAAAATATAATTTCTACCACTCATATGCTATTTTCAGATGAGAATATACTCTGCAAATCCTTTTTTATTCCCTCTGCTCCCTCCCCCCATACACTTTGGTAGTAGTACTTTTAGGGATGTACAGCAATAAAATCATGTTCAAGGGTCAGCCAAAATGCCATGGTACCCTACTAAGTCCTACTGGATCAAGTATAATCCCCAAATTTTTTCCTTTCTTAATCATGTTGGGGTTTTTAGGCATACATTTACTTTTTGTTCTTATTTGTAGATGGTGTGAAAAGAGCCTGTAGCAAGCTTTCATAAATACATTCTGCCCTTTGCACTCTAAAAACTATTGACTTTTTCTGTGTGGTTGATGTTGTTTGTTCTCTTTCTCTTCTTTTAGGTCATAACCAACACCGCTGCCAAGTTAGTATCACTTCTATATAGTGCCAAATGTTTGTCTTCTGCTGTGTATGTGAAGATGTGTTTTCTGGGGTAGCATGATCCCCTGTGCTCCTGCTGTGTCTGCTTGCGAGTGGAAGTGTTTTTCTAAAAACCTGCTTGGTATGGCCAGCATCCTGTGCTGCCTCTGGTGTCCTGCAGTGCTCCCTTCTGAGCACACCACGCACTTGGTGAGGCTCTAAGGCTGGCAATGGAGTTGGCAGCTGAGCCTGCTCAGTTCTTGGGAAGGCTTTCAAAAGCTTTTGTTTCTACAGGTCAGGTTTAAGTCCTCTGAAATCTTTCAGTAGCCTTCATGCCTTCAGACTTTGAGCATTATCTGAGCCTTTTTTGGTGTATTATTAGCAATGTACTTTCAGCTTTGACATAAAATTAATTTCCAAAGCCCCACTCCGCTGAAATTCAAGTTCAGGTTGGTATGAGATACAGATATGGAAAAAAAATCCACAAAGTCATTTACCTTAGTAAATGTATTGCCCAAACAAGAAATAACTATTTGAAAATATGGTCAATCTGCTTTATTTAAGAAAGTTCACAGAGTCCTCAGTTTTGATCTTTGGTTTTCTAAGGGCAGAGGATTATCTCTAAACTCTCACTTTCTGTCCCTGAAATGGATGTTATCCAGAAATTTCTAGAGACTGGGTTAAATTCAGCATAAAATAAATAATTCTCATAGTTAAATGTGAAATTTAAACTGACGATACAAGGTTAGAAGCAGTAGAATACATAAAAGTTGAGATAATATTTAATACACATAACTTACACTGATCCAGCATTCTCAGTTGATTTTAGTGAGGTGTGGGTGTGATGTCATGCAAACGCTGGAACTCCTTTGGTGTGACAAAGTCTAGCCAATTTACACTGATAATTATTCTGACACAATTGTCTTAGAAAGCAGAAGTCACAGTATTGGGGTGTTTTTAATCTTACTTGCTTTGGCATTTATTTTTCCAATCCTTTTCTATCTTAGGAGAAGATCCCATTCATTTTGCAGCAGTGCTCCAGCTGTTCCTGCAGCCTTACCTCTGCCACTTTGTCCTAGAGAGCAACACCCCTCACAAGCACTAATATCTTCTCTCTACCTCCAGAGTTATGAACAATACTCTGCAGATGAAAACCTGTCCATTTTTCTATTAGTTTTATGGGAATCCTGTTAACATCAGTTAAAGTTTTACCTTGGTATGTGTAACGTGACTAAAACTTCTTGAAAGACATCACTGAAACTGTTTAAAGACCACAAGTGAAAGCCCAAATCACTCCTGCTGCTACTGTTAGGGAAGTTTAGGCTGTTCTGACGTTACTAGCTTTGATTTCTGTAGTTGTGGAAACCAACTGCTTAGAACTTTATTCTTTAAAGGTGGCATATTTAACCTCTGTCCTTTCATTCACACAATCTTCTCAGATCTTGAGTTTAGAATCTCTTCAATACTCAACAGCATGGAGGAAAGAGAATACTAAATTCAAGATCTTGAGGACCTGTGTGTTTGTAATTATCATGTGATCATTTAGGGTATTACAAAGAAAAGAGATGATGTTGTTGAAGTAAGGCACGTTCATGCTCAGTGTAGCAACCTGCACGTCCCTGCACATCACCCTTCAACAGATGATGCCAGTGTAATAATAAAACTGTCATCGTTGATGAATAGTTAATGGAGATATATTTTAAATGTGAAAATGTCTTTGTAAAAAGATGATTTTCACTTTTTGAGTGCATAATGCAGCTTCCTGGTTCCCTCCCTTAAAAGGTTGACGTGTGTATCTAAAGGCTGTGGTTGTGATGCAGCATGTGCATTTATGTGTCTCTGTTCCTTGAGCATGTGGCTGTCAATGTTCTATCAAGTATTTGGAATGATATGTGTATCTCTCTGTCTGTCTTCAGTCAGGGCATCCCACCAAACAAAAGGCTGAAAACATAGTGGAATCCCCTGGCTGGGTTCAGAGCTGGCACATCACCTGTGATGATCTCTGGAAGATTAAGTCAGATGGCTGCCAGCTTTACTTGATTTTACTTTTTCCTCCATGCTGGATTGAGGGTTCAGTTTTAACCCTCTGGGGTTAACCCATGGCAAACAGGCAAACTATTGTGTGTGTAAAGAGAAAAACTTTTCCAATTTAGTGAGCATATGGAATCTATTCTGCTGGCATCCCTCTGCTGCTGGCAGGACAGGAAGAGCAGACTAGAGAATCATCTGATTTCCATAGGTTAGAGAAGAGCAGCTACTTCAGTGTCTGACAGCTGAGGGTTAACTTTCTCCTTGAAACTCTGGGCAATGCTCAGTCCTTGCTCTAGGGCTACAACAATGTACAACTCGGCCCTACAAGGAAGCCAGGTGCTGTTTGGCTGCAGCCTGACATTAAACTGGCTTGCTCTGATGTAATGGGAGCTTTATTTAACTTGGTTGGGGCTCAGTCTCTCAAATAAAAGTCCTTCCTCATAAATGGAAGCTGCAGCAGCCACTCTTCCAAATGCAATTGTCCCATTGGTTGCAATGTAGGATATTTTGGTCTGAGACTGAGCATTTATCATGCTGTAGCAACACTTGGGGCTGGCTGTACAGAGATTTTGGGAAGATTTAGTCTTTGTGAGGAAAACCTTGAAGATTATTAAAAGGCACAAGAACTAAATTTCACTGTGATTAATAATCCAGACAGAAAGTACTGGAACCTTCTAAATAATAGAGGACCAAAAATCTGTTCACCCGACTGCATTTCCTAGTGCTTTGTCAGAATGCTGAAAGCATGAATGGATGCAGTGGATAAAGTGCAGTGTGTATGTATATCCCATGGGCATGCACATATACCTGTGTGTATGTCTGTGTACACTTACAGGTATATATGCATGTAGCAGCAGAATTTTAGTATCACATAAATACTTAGGGATTTGTCATGATGTTTTAATGCAGTGACAGCTATTTCACCTTTGTTTTCCTCTTTATACATCTGTGAGCCAGCACACAAATGTCATCCATTGGGGCAGCCAGCTTTTAACTGTGACTTGGTACTTGTGTTGTCTCCTGTTCTGTGATGGGAAGCTTTGCTGGTGAGATGCCATGAACAGACATGCACACTCCTCTGCCAGTGGTGCTTCTCTCACTTAACTCTCACGCCTCTCTCCTTTCTTCCCTTCCCCTCCCTGTGGAACCTCACTCTTGCATAACCCAGCCCGGAGTTCACGGAGCGTTTCAACCCCAATGTCCTGAAGGACTCTGCCCTGTCTACACACAAACCCATTGAGGTGAAGGGCCTTGGTGGCAAGGCTACTATAATTCACGCCCAGTATAACACCCCGATCAGCATGTATTCCCAGGATGCTATCATGGATGCAATTGCAGGCCAGGCACAAGCCCAGGGTGGAGAATTTGCTGGGTAAGGTCATTTCCTTGTGTGGAATGCTCTTTGTCTGCATGGTACATGTAACAGTCCCTGCCTGCATGACATGGTTGCTCTTCCTGGACTCTTTTTATTGGGGTATATTATACATAAAAATACATATCAATACTAGACAATGTTTAAAAGCACTTCCATGTTTTGAAGTTAAAAGGATAGATAACTGGAAAACCGTAGCATGGTTTGTGCTGGAAGGGACCTTAAGGATCATCTGGTTCCAAAAGTCTACCATGGTCAGGGATACTTTAATTTAACTTTTCACTTTTAGTATTCCTCCTAGAACTGGTAAACCACACAAAAATATATCTAGTGCTCTGTATATGACATTGGATGGCTTTTCATTTCTGATGACCATGCTTTGTAATAATCACTGTATTATATGCATAGCTTGGGAATAACAGGAAAGGGGGGTGGAATTTTTATTGATATGTGAAGAATGCAAAATATTTATTTAGTACTGGCTACTGGTTTATTCTGCAGAATGGAGTGTTTTGCTGTATTTTCCCTCTCCCTGGTTTACGTACAGTACATATGTTTTACACATACCCTTTGGACTATGGCAAAAGCCACTGATCTTTAATAACTCTGCTTTTACCAATGCATGTTTCTGGAAATCCATCTGATTAACTTATCCAGAGCTGTTACAACTTAACTGAAGTTACACATGCAATGAATGCAGCCAGATTTCTCTCTTGCCAGGTGTCTTTCTACCCAAAATTGAGCTTACCTTCTTTTCATGTGACACCAAACATAGGTACAGCAACACACTTTAACATAGTTTCTTCTCAATATGTTAGCTTTAGGCTTATTCAAAATGAACCTGGATTATGTATTTGCTTCTGCTCCCTTTTACTGGCCATTTTTCTCTCTTTTTTTATATATATATTTTTTCCCACTAACTTTTTGCATCACAGCTCTACCTAATGATGGATCCCAAGCAATCCCAAGCAAGTTTTGACCATGCTTCCAATTAGCCAAGTACAAAGAGAGAAGTTCATTCATTCTCTGTTCTTTATAATGGTTCACATCTTTCATAGGCATGGATTATATGAGACATTTTATCATATATTGGAATTTTCTACTAAATGCAAATGGTAATGTTTAAAAAAATTGCTTATTTAAGTGATCAGATGATTATAAAATTCCACTGCTGAGTACATAGATCCTTTTCATTTTATAAGCAGCACATGAAAGGAATCTCTCAAATGCAGTTCCAGTCACCAGGAGTGGCTCTACTGGACTGGAAAAGAGCCTTGTCTTTTCCCACCTGTGGAAGAAATCAAGACACAGTGTTGCCTGTGTTGCAGGGAGGGGAAAATGCTGTTCCTGGAAATTCCCAGATAGAGTGAGAGAAGTCCAAAAAGTGCAACCAGGGAGATTAGGGATTTGTTTTAACACATAGAATTGTGAAGTAAAGAATCTCAATAATAAGAGAGGCTTGAATAATAAATTAAAAGATAGTCATGAATTATATTAGATACATACATATATATATTAAAGATATATGTACATATCTTTAAAAGAACCAAATGAATGGATACATAGATAAAAAATAGACTGTTATGGAGTGTTGAGTCATTACACCACCAGCAGCAAAGTGTGTGTTAAACATCAATGTGTTCTAAAGTTTTTATTTTTTTTCTCATTTTGAACATGGAAGCCACCTATTGCATGGGTGTTTTTGATATGAGATGGTTATTTCCATTAATCCTTTTCTATTAGACAGTTCTAGTTAAACATTATTCTTTGCAGACAACTTCATGACTGTGTTCTCCCATGTAATGTTGCAAAAAAAAATTTTTCTTTAAGATTAACTATATAAGCTACCCTTTAAGCTTTTGCTGCATTTTGGAATGTGACTCCTAAGCCAAACATTCACCTGATCCCAAGGAGAAACTAATGTTTTTATTCCTACTGTGCTCAGAGCTACAGCCTGTCTTGTAACTTTTCTTGCCTTTTTTTTTTATTTATAACACTTAGTGACTATCCAATTTTCTCTGTAGGTTTTTTTATTACAATTAACACAACATTTTTAATCTATATATCTAGCAACCTAGCAAGGGTTGTGCTGCCCTAACAATGGCCTACCCATTGACTGATACTCATTCGATTAAACCTTTGGGTTCTTTTGGCTTCCATGATATTCTGAACTTTAATTTGCAGTGCAAAGTGATATGTTCTTTCATTTGCTTAGTTGGTCAAGTCTGAGATAAGATTATGCTAAATGCAGAAGTATTTGTATGAGGAGTTTTTCATATAAATGCAGACCAAATTGTGTACTGATTCATTTTGTGTCAATTCTCTGCATATAATTCAGTCTCAGTGCTTAATTTTTCTTCTTCTGGCTTTTCATTTCACGTTAGAGGTCAGCCCTGAAGCCACGAGATGTCTGTAAGATGGTAAGCACACTCAGACTGCAGACCTAAAGGGCAGACAGTACCTGGAAACATGCTTACCTCTTCTATCTGTGATGAGGGACAGACAGGCTCAAGAGAAGAATTCATTTTCTAGTTTCACTATTTGAAATCAGTGATGCTGTAGCTTAGTGAGATCAGAATCAGACTCTTGTCACTTAGAAAATAACCCACACTTACTGGACCACCATGGAAAACACAAAGGAAAGCATAGAATTATTCATACTGCAGTTACTCAGACATCACACTGGAACTGAAAGGCAGAGAATTTTGAATGCCATGGCTTCTTATCTTTTCTTCTCTTTCTATGTTTTTTTTTGTTTTAATTGATTTTGCTAAACCAAGAAGCAAGAGTTGGTTGCAGTAAAACCAACATGGTTAGTACATTTTGATTACATTTCTGTCAAACCTCTTCTAAATTCTGTTATGCAGTTTGAGCCAAATTCACAAGTCATAAATAGACATAAATCCAACATCTTTGTCCAGATTAAGAACTGAAAAGTTAAAGTAGCAGAATCAATAATGTGATTGGGTAGAAACTAAAGTCTCGTGTATTCTCTACAGTAAGTCAACTTGGGTAGATATTTACCACTCTACATGAACTTTTGATTTTTTATTGGGTTGTGAGGATTTTTACCTCTTAGCCCTTTTATTGAATAGCTGGAATCAGTCTAATATCTGAAGTCACAATATTTCATGGTGTGTCTACACCAGGGGTAGAACACTGCAGTGTTCCTAAGTTTTACTCATTATCTATTTAAATTAAACCTGGCTAATGACTCCAGGGTACCATTCATGTGGTAAACTGTAGTTTATAATGGAGTCCAAAAAATAATAATCCCACTGCTACTTACTCAAAGAAGTTTGACTGTCTTTAAAGTTTGTTTTAATGTCAATAATGTGTGACTAGTATGATGATGTGAAAAAGGAGTATCATTCTTTATTGACTCCTGCTAAAATACCTCAGGCTGTAGTGTGGAAACCCACGAAAGCTCTAACCCATTGGGGAAGAATTCTTTTTCAGTAACATCTATTTCGAGTAATATGCTTAAAGATGAATAATATTTCTGCACATCCACACCCAGATGGAAAGAAATTAAATTACAAAGAGGTATAACAGAGGTATTAACATGGTTATGTGCATCTTTAGGCTGTCTGTAAGAATCAACTGTCACATTTAGGTTTATGAAATGCTCATAATCAGCGATGTGCTCTATTTTGCACTTCCATGCTGCGTGGCTCATATGTCCTAGTTACTCATCTACAATGTAATTATGATTTTTAAAAAAGAAAAAGGCCTGTTGAATTAAAGGCAGATTTGGAAATATTCCAATGTATTACATTAATTTAGTTCAATTTATATGAGCATGTTTCACTCTGCTAGGGAAGTTTAATTCAGCAAGCTCCATTTCCTGCCTTAATCATCTACCATGAGGATATTAATATGTCCTGTTAATGCCACACATTGCTACTGTGAAATTTGTGGTCCAGCCTTTAGCTCTAGTTTTTTAACTAACCTTGAGTTAATAGCATAATTATACATAAACCTTTAAACTGCTTTTTTTGTATATTGGTCATAATACAAGAACAAAGCATTTCAGCAAGAGGATTCAGTCAAAGGAATTTGTACTGTCTGTAACTTGCATGGTGCTGTTGCCACAGTGGTCTATGGTCGAAGTCAGCAAAGGTTTATTATCCACTTTGCAACAGTATGCAGCTGGGAAATGTGCTATCACACTGCTAAAACCAGCAGTTTTTTAAGCTTCAGCAAGATTAAAAAGTCAATCTGGGAATATAAAGTTAACTGTTGGCCCAATTCAGGCAGTCAGCTATAGCAGTCATACAGGGCAAGGTACTGGGTGCTCAGCACCCTCAAATGCCTCTGGGGTCATCTTTTGGGGAACATTAACAAGACCTTTACAGTGACAGAACTTTTCAGCATAGCCAAGTGTCAGAGGCAGCAGCAGAACGGTCCCAAGTGGGTTGCTGACTTACTGTTGGTATTACAGAGAATCTTTTCCATGCAAAGACTCTTCCTGCTCCCACACTTTGTGCCCTGCCTCAGCAAGCCCTTCAGCCATATGTGATGGGCCAGAAGAGGAAGACTACTGCTCTCCCATCTTCCACTAGGAGCAACACTACTGCAAGCAACTGATGGCACACCCTCCCCAAAATAAACAAGTCTACATTATGCCTTCTGTACCTGCTAGTGTTTAGGTATTGTAAGGATAGTGGTCTGGAAACATGAGCTAAAAGAGGAGCTGGAAAATGCTGCTTCTTCCTACAGGGTGTCTTTCACACTGAGAAACATTTTTTACATGACTTGTATGTTTTGTGGCAGAGCTTAAACTGAAGAGTCAGGTTTTTTTCTAAGTTCACCTTTTTTCCAAGCTGTACTCCATCACGTAGATGATTGTGCTGAAACATGCAAAAAAAAAAAAATTTACTGAGGTTTGTGCTGTGCTGGGTCCTCAAGAAAGTGATAAGTTTGCATATATTGGGGGTTATGAAGAACATAAATACTCCTTCAATAAAACCTGAAAACTCCTAGAGAGACAGGGTGCTTTTGGGTCCATATAAACACTGACCATGTTTGTGAGCCACCTGTGGTCTGACCTGAAGAACACGTCCCCTGCTATTATGTCCAGATCCATCAAAACCGTGTATTGATGAAGAGGAGTGTGTCAGCTGGAAAATACTGATATTTAAAGCACTACCTGGTAATATTTTTCATCACAGTGTATGTTATTGCTGTGTGTAGGATGTCAGACATGGTTCTTGGCTTTTTCATGATTTCTCTCAGGTCTTCAAATCACAGACTCAGCTTCTCTGTAGATTTTCTCTGCACAATGGTGTCTTAGAGAACACTAAGTTTGAGCCTGAACCAAGGAAGAAACTTTTATAGCAGGGGGCTGCTCCTGGAACTTTATGGCAGTGACTTAGTTGGACCAAATGGCCCTTAACTTTTAACAGAACCGTTTCTCAGTTTTCCTGAAGTTGAGCTTGCTGCTTGCAAAGCTCTTTATGGAATAACAAGTTAAAGCTGTTACAATAAATCACTTGCTTCAAAAATAGACCTTGTATTTAGAGAAGCCGTGGAGCCAAGTTACTCCAAGCATACATCATCCCCTCAGTGTATATTCCTGCAGCTCTGTTAATAGTTAATTTTAACTGTGTGCTATGCAGAAGTTATTTTCACAGGGGGAAAAAAAGGCACTATTAAGTTACTAAGCCTGTTTCTAGCTTGCATCATAAATCAAAGAGAGGTTACTTCACTTGTGCTGCAGACTTTTGTAGCTTTGATTTTAGGTGTGCACAATTGAAAGTTTTTTCCTGGATATATCACTTTGCAAGATGAGTAGACATGTTGTAAGACTCAGATACATTCTGTTGCTAAAGATTTCAGATACAGCATATGTATGCAAGTCTTGAGTACAAGTCTAGACTTCTTTGCTTCACAGGTTTAGTAGACAATGAATCTAGACTTATGGCAGATGGAAGTTTAATTCAGAGTTTGACAAAGAATCATCTCTAGAAAGAGCTATAAAAGCCTACCACATTATTTTTATAATGAAATATGGTTTTTATTTCTAAGTACAATCTCAAAGCACATTGGCCTAACACTGTAATTTAAAGAAGTAGCATAAAACAGTATCTACATGAAGTAATTTTTATAAGAAATAATAGGGGACAGGAATTCTCAGAGAAATAAATGTTTTTGCCTGGCATACTCGCCTTTATCACCACACGTTATTCTAACCACTGTAAGCTTGTGGCTTCCTTGGCTGAGGAATCATAAACAGATATTTCCAAGCATTGTCATGCTGTTTTGAATATGCAGATTTGATGATAACAGGCCATTCTAAAGATAGAACGAGCCATAACATAAAATTGACCAACGTATTTTTTTAAGAAGTGGTACTTTCAAAGCCATGTTGTGGATTGCTGTTACTCTGGGTGATAAACTGCGACCAGAGAGGCTGGGAGGAAAGGCACCATGTGCCGTTTCACAACGTTTCACTTTCTGAATTGCAGTACCCTCCCTCTCAAAGACCCTCACGTAGACAGTGCCTCCCCGGTGTACCAGGCTGTGCTGAAAACTCAGAACAAGCCCGAGGATGAGAGCGAGGACTGGAGCCGCCGCTCCGCCAACCTGCAGTCCAAGTCCTTCCGCATCCTCGCCCAGATGACTGGGACAGAGTACAGTAAGTGGAATTACAGAACATCCTCCTCATCCTCACTGCAGATTCCTGTCGTTATGTATCGCCCCGGCATTGGCCACTGATACTGAAGGAATACTCATGACCAGACTCGTAGTTTTCAGTCCAAGATCCTGGATGTAACTAGAGAGAAAGGGAAATCAAAGTGTACAGTCTCACCTTATGCTTTGTGAGGAAAATTCTTTGATCTGCCAGGGGTCTCACCATAAAACTATAACAGACTCTATAGTAAAAGAGCATTTGGGACCCCATAGTTCTTCCTACTTACAAATAAAATTTCTGCAGTGCAATTTTTTGTTCTCCAGCAGCCTAGACTTACAAAGCTGTCCATTCATTAGAAAAAATGACAAATGGGTCATGTCTCTTGTAACAGCCTTTTATAGAAGTGACTTCTGGAGGTCAAAAAAAATCATGGATCACCATTTGTCTTGAATCTATGATTCTATCAGCCCTGTTGTCTAAACCTAGATCTGCTATGAATGTCACAGGAGATTGAACTTTGCTGCTTGTTGCCTATGGAAATATTTTTCTGACCACCTGGTACTAACTTCACAGCTGGTTTCTGATCTAGAGATAAGGAAGTTCAGGGTCCTTTCCCACATCAGAGGGAAATAGTTAGTGTTTCCTATGAATCTGCTGCTCATGCCTCTTGTGCTTTCCTGCAAAACAGCAGGACCTCTCTGTAGAATCATTGCCTACAGCTGTGAAACACTGCTAATAAATGAATGACAAAGGCATTGTAATAGCTACATTCCTCCAAACATCCTCCTTCCCATCTCTGGGGAACTGCTCTTCCTCATGGTGTTCTTACAGATTCCACTGCTGCAAAATCAGCTTAATGCACCTTTAGATAGGCTTTTGATAAGTTTCTGAGGAACTTATAATTTCATCATAAAGCCAATTCCTTCCTTTCTTTCTTTTTTAACTGAAACATTTTTTGTCTACAGTGCAAGATCCAGATGAAGAAGCCCTGAGGAGGTCAAGGTAGGCAACTCCCTGTGAAAAATATGGCTTTCTCCTTCCTGATAACCCAATAATGTTTTAAAATGGCATTAATATGAACCTCCTTTATTATATTTTTGTCCTAAAATAGTCTAATACATTTACTTAAAAATCACTGAAATTAAAATGCTATTTGTGAGAGGCATTTGAATGAGAAGGATAAAAAATTAGCATGCTTTTAGGAAAGACAGTGCAAAATTCCTGGAGTGTGTGTTCAAATCTCAAAGCTCTTTGCTCATGCAACTTTCCTGTACTTTACTGGGTGTGTGAATGTGATGAATTCCAAGCCCCATGTAACTACTTGATTGTGTAACTGGATGAAAATATATAATGTTGTGATAGCACTGAAATTTGTGAGCAATTTATTTGGATGACCCTCTGATTGACATTTGATTCTCCTTAAATGATACAGTAAAGGAGTTGTTTCCATCCATACCCATAATCATTAGCTGATGTTTTATTTGGAATAAACATGACCCAAATTTATAGAATACGGAAGCACAGGACTGCTTTTGCTAGTGGATAAATGTATTTGTTTCATATGATCCATCAAAAACACTTAAAAAGTGGATATGTTCAGAGATATAATATGGAATTAAAGATTTATCATCATCCTGCATAGCCAGGAAATAGATGTATTAGAGATTCTTATGTTGAGCTAAAAACTGCAGTTGAATCAAGAGCATCCTGCGTGTAAGCCTTATTTTCTGTTTGCATACTTCAAATCCCTGTTCACATGAGCTGCTCTAAGCCACTGGCTGGGTTTGTGATGTGTTTGATACTCAAACCACCTCCTTTCCTTATTCTTTTTTTTTTCTTTTTACTGCTGTACGGCTTCTTTAAAGGTTCTGAGCTTTTGATCACAGTGCAAGTTACAAATGTTGAATCAGTGAGAAAGAAATCTGTTATCTTCCCTGTGAGAATACAAATGTGCTTTCAGCTGATGTTTGCTATAAACCTTCCATTGCAGTTCACCCCAGTTCATGGCTGAGTGCCCGAACATCAGGCTTGACATTATATCCCTCAGGGATTTATTTCTTCCCTCAAATGTGCAAGCCTAATTCTCATTAAATGTATTGTGCATTATCTGTTTTGATGTAATAGCACACATCCAAATCCTTACTATGATGGGATTTAAAGCATTGTGATGAACTTAAGAGTCCCCCATTCACATCTGAGAGTAATATGTTGTTTTAGAGGAATAATCTTTCTAGGTGTAGTCTGTGGCTTTGGAAAATACTAGATACTGGAAAATGGTATCAGATATGTTGACAATAATTATCTAGTAACACATCAACATGTAGAAATTGCACATTCTATCTCGAAGTACATGACTATATTCACTGTGCTTTGCATGTTTTCTGCAGTTTTGAGGTTTCACTGTGTTATCCTTTGTCTTCACAAGGAGATTCTGGCTATGTTTAGGCACAGCTGAACAGGTTTAAGGGCATTCATTGGTAGTAGAGTTAAGGGAACATATACTAGGTAGTTACACAGGAACTGTGCAATTGGTGTGAGCTCTGGGGCAAGGAATGAAATGGGGTCTCCTTCCTGCCTCCCTGACAGTGCCTGTCCCATGTGGGTGGGTTGGTGCCTGCCTCAAACATTGCACACACTCCACTGGAGATGTGGTAGCAAAAGCCCCAGTTGTGCATGCATCAGCTCTTTGGGGCCTGTTGGACCCCTTCTGTTTCATCCCTTGGGAAGGCTCCTGCTACTTTTGATTTTGTAAGGGATGGAAGGGCCTATGACAGATGCACAGACTCCATACTTGAACTTCACTCTTCCAGCATAATAATGGAGTAGAAAGTCCTCTTCAGTGTCTACTCCAGATCCAGACTATACAACCACACCTTTCTCCATGTCCACAGTTTGGGATCATCTGGAAGGTTTCCTGGGTTCCTGAAAGCAAAAGGTTTCCATGAAACTGCGGAACCTGAGTCTTGCCAGATTCAGTGTTGTGTTAACGCCCTGCTGTGCTGGAGTTCTGGAAAAATCCTTCATGTTCCAAAAGTTAAACTGCCAGAGATTTTGGAGGGCAGGGGATTTTGGTCTCAGGGCATGCTGTGAGCAATCTCTCTGGTGCTTTCTCTTGCAAGAGCTGCATGAAATGCTGATCAGATTTCTCCCAAACTCTTGGAGGACAGGGGGTGATACGTGTAGCTTATTTTTGACAGAACTGCTTTACATAAAAATAGTCACTTTTAGATTGCTGCTTCTAACTTCATGACATATGTTCTAAATGAAAGCCATGGAGCTTGGGCATTTTCAAGTGGCAGAATATCCCTTTCAGTTAATATTAATGAGCGTTGCATGACTGTCCCTCGCTCGTGCTGCTGCTATTTTGAAGGCACCCATGAGATTATGACTTGCTATGAAAACTTTCCATTGCTGGTGTGATGATCGTTGTGGATTATTTTCTGGAAAGAAGGGATCTATTTCAAGCCAAACACATGTTTCTGAATACCTTTTCCTTGAATGGAGGGATAATTTCTCGAAAGTAGTGAGGGAATTCTTAAATTGCATGTCAGACCCACTGTAGCTGGTACACTCTGGTTTAACTGGAAAAAATGCCATCAGGAAGTTTCAACTAGGAATACTTTATATCTTTTAATTACTTAAAAGCATAAAAGATATTTTGGGAAGTCATACATCAACACTTCTTTAGGAGTGTTACTTGCATGACACTGTGTTATTAAGAACAGAAGATTTAGAAATATCAGTGAATTTGTTGGCATTTACTCTGTTTATTGTTTTGTGCTTTCTTCAGCCTGAGGAGTAAAACCAGCTCAGTCTGCTCCTTTCTATTTGGCTGGTTTCACTCTCAAGTTCCACTGCATTAACACAATTAATTGTCTTGTGTTTTGAGTGTAAATAATGAGGAAAAAAATTACCTTGTTTGCAATGATTCAAATACATTTTGCAAATAACAAGAACATTTTATTTTCCATTCTGTTTGATATACTTCTCCTTCACTGTGCTCTCATCTCACATCCCCCTTCTTCCCCTTTTTATTTACAAAACCTGAATTTAAACTGTAGAGTGTCTAGAAAAGGCTAAACCCTGAGAGGTGCTGAACACAGCTCGACAGCCCCAGTGTGCAGTCAGAGGTAGCCAGGGAGGGCAGGAGATGGCCAATACTTCACAGGACTCTGCTTTGAAAATCCCATGTTGTTCTGCTTTGTGACACCTATGACCAGAAATATTTATGCAAATGTAAACACTAATACTTACTAATGCTGAGAAAAGCTGTAGAAAAGTACTGTTTAAACCTGTGGGTGATGGTCCTTGCAGGAAGGACAGCAGGATATATATGGGCTGGCCTAGGTGTTACAGAATGGAAAATACCTGCATTCATTTTGCACTTTTATGAGTTAACTGTTACTGACTGCTCAGTTGGGGGCAAGGGAGGGAAAAGCCAAGAGAAACTGGTAGCAGGAAAACAATGGGATTACACTGCATTTCTAGCAAAAGCAGCCCTGTAATACCAAGCACAAGTCAAAGAATAAGAAGTTACATCAAGTTACTTCTCAGAAATAAACAACTGCAAAACCTTTCATACATGGTCCAAAAAGCATCACCCAGCCTTCATTGTGCTGGTTTGATAGCTGAGGAGAAAATCCAAATAAATTGCCATTGCCCTAGTTATAAGGCAGGGGAGTGGTAGCCATGGTCCCTAACCCCTTTCTTTCTCCCTCCTTTCTTTCTTCTGTGTTTATGTCTCTCTCTGTCTCTGTCTCTCTCTCTCTTTCTTCATGCCACAGGGAGAGGTTTGAAACGGAACGTAACAGCCCACGCTTTGCCAAATTGCGCAATTGGCATCACGGCCTGTCAGCGCAGCTCCTTAATGTCAAAAGTTAAAAGCCCACGTTTCTGGGGCAAACACAGACAGAGTTACAGTCACACATTAACTGCTGTCCTGAGTTAGAGCCCCAGCGTGTCCCACACGCTGCTGGGGCCTTGCTCTGTAGGTTTCTGTCGTTAGCCTGTTAGCCATTCACTGTCACCACAACTAAAAATAACAATACAACCCAGGTCGTGTTCTTCATTTCAAAGTAGTTTAGCTTTACTCCTTTACTATCTCAAACTTCAGTATACAGGAAAACATCACTATTGTAGTCCCTTAACTTTAGGAGAAAATTAGAGGGAAGTTGCTGACAGTATTTCTTTAGGAGGAAGAAGAATGAGACTTTTACTGAGTTTTACTGTAAAGATAATGAAGTAGGAGAAAGAAAGTTGAAAAGAAAAACTGACTGGCCTAGACCTTGCTAAATGTACGACATACTTAGTTTGCATAGTTGAATGATGCTGTTTTAAATAAGATATTAGCAATGTGAAGTTGTATTTCTTCAATATATTATACTGGTAGAGGTTATTTGCTGAAACCATTGCTGTAAGTTTTGTGTTGGAAAATTGAATTTATCATTATATAAAAGTGAGAGATAGCTGGGGTTGCTCAGGATCTGCGAGGAAATGACATTTTGCTAGAGGTGATTTAGGAGTGAGAAGAATATATCATACTACTGTTGCACTGAAGCTTTTAAAAGCATCTTTTAAGATTTAAGGAATATGTTGCCCATTCTGTATTGCTCTTGCTTTGACCCACACTTTTTCTGTATATAGCAGCATGCTTTATCTGAAATAAAACATTTTAAAACTAAAATAATTATGTGCCTGTTTTACAAAGTATTTTATTCTGTTTTAAAACAGTAACTGCTTCAACTGATTATTGAAAGAAGGAGAACTTTTCTTTCCTGAATAGAAAATTTGGTCAAAAAGCTTTCCATTATTAGCTAGAATTATTATTGACCTTTAAGTTGTCTGAATTAGAATAAAACTGACAAAGCAGCTGAAAGAACAACAGAAATGAACAAAATATTTTTACTAAGTGTGAACAAAGCGTAATTAATAGGTAATAGCATAATTAATAGATGTTAGATGACAACCTATTGATAATATTGTTTAGCATTTCCATTTAAATAATTTGCATTCTCTGGCAGTAATTATTAATTTGTCTCTGTGGCAAAGGCACTTGAGACACTGCTGGTGCTTAGAATGAGATCTTTTTGGTACAATAGTACAGGTCTTTGCTGTGTCAGTTGAGACATGGCAAACCTATAGCCAAGGCTGCCAAATATTCCATATTCCATCTGAAGTACACCAAGGGCAGTGCTACTTTCCTTTCTAGCTTGTGCTCTGATCATCAAATGAAACAAAAAATGCAACTCCATTAAAGAGTTTGTGGTTTCCATGGAAACAGTTGATGTGAGCCCTCAGCTGGCTGCATTAGGAGTCCTTGGCACTGACTGAGGCAGGAGTTTCTCTGATGAAACACTGCTCTCTGCAGTGACAGGCTGACTCTATCACAGGCCTGCTGGCAGCCTTTAGGGTTGTTTTTTTTCATTAACTTCTATAAACTGCAAATCAGGTACCTTTATCTGGTAGCAATAGTTCTGATCAAAGGGATTAATCAGTGCATGAGATCAGACTCAAACTCTTGTGCTTTTTGCTGCTTCCAAATTTGTATCAGCAGTCAAGTTCATTCAAACTCCCATTGTTTTTCTGTGTTAGAAATAAGGAAAAGCTACAGTTCATGGAGAATTTTGCATGAATCAGCCAAATACTGGAGTGTTTAAAGGGCTACCATACATATTTTTAAAAAATCAATTCTTGAGTATTATTAAAGAGTACATGAGCACTAGTTGCTTCTAAAATGCATTTCACTTTTCTTAGCTAAGTACCATAGCAGTTCAGTAGACATGCTACTTAATTCACAGCATGCATGTACACTTTCCTTATGGGAACACAAACAGATGCTGGTCACACCATCTTACTACTGCCTGTGGAAAATCAACAGCACTGCATGAAATAAGAGCAACATTTTAACTTTTCCTGAATGTTGCCAAGATCAAACTTTGGTCAACCAAAGTGGTGGTGAATTTTATTTATATATGGGAAATTTTGATAGAACTTAAAATATCAATAGTCAGTTTTTCCACAAACATTAAATGTACCTAAGTAAAAAATTATCCAGTTCTAATTTTTAACCAAGTTAGATTTTTGACATTTTTTCTGAATAAGTATTAATATAGTTTCTTCACTTAAATAGGAATTGTGTATCCTTAATGTTTTATGAACAAAATACAGATGCTATGTTTCAAATAGTCCTAGTGCATGTGTTATAATGAAAAAGAAAACGTCTAGATTATATCTCAGTGCTTACACTTAATGTTATTTTGAAAGGTATTTTTTAGTAATTTGATAAGATATAAAATTAATGGAAATGTAATTAAGGCACCCCTTCTCCTTAGCTCTCTTCAGTGGGTTTAATGATAAAAATTCATGCATATAAACCATGTAATCATATAAAGAAATAATATTAATCTTTTTTTTATGTAGGATACAAAGTGGAATCTAAACACTTTCCAGACTTGTAGAATTTCAATTTTTTATGTAGTTACAGAGAAAAAAAAATTAATAGAAAAAGATCTTGATTTGGTAGCCTTTGGAACTTTTGCAATATTGAAGATCTTTTGTAAAGGTGCCTTCATTAATTCCTATGGCAAGATTTTCACTACAGCATATTTCTACTACTCAGTCCAGTCCTTTTTAAAAAATCTTCCAAGCGATGGACTTTGGATTAACTGTCAGTCAAATTTTTCTATGCCATTTCTTGTTTATATTTAGATTAGTTATTCCTCAACTCTTCCTCCTCAGAAATCTTCCTTTATGTAGTCATGACAATCTTCAAGTCCAAAAAAACGAATGTTACCCATCTTTCTTCATGTAGCTGTGAAGAGGCCTTGGTTTTGCTTCCTGAGTAGGAGGTGGCCTTTGTAGAGAAATTGGCCTGCAGTTTTCATTCTACTACATGCCATTGCTAAAGACTGTAACAGACTGAGGTCTGATAAGAAAGCATTAACAGCTTTGAAGAAACAGTAGCTTTGTTCTAGCAAAAGGTCAAGTCTGTTCTAGTTTTGTTCTATTTTTAGTATATTCGGGCTTCTCTCACTGTATGTGGCTTCTGATTGACCAGCACCATCCTGCAGAGTTTCCTGACCATTTGCAGAAGTCTGCTCTTTTGCCTAGGAAGATTATTCACAATTAATGACAGTGAGGCTTAAAATAGGTTCCCAATTGAAGACTTGCTGAGTCATGTAATTCTTTAAAACAGCACTGATGACAGGCAGGTGTATCTGTCCCATGCTGAATATGTTTTGACCTGTGACTGCTCTGCTGAGCAGAGGACAATGGTCAGTGACAATACTGTCTTCTAAATAGCCTTCATGCCAAAAATAAAGTAAAATGCAGGATGTGAACAGTGCTATTCACTCCCTGCCCATCCCAATATTGCCAGTAAAGCATAGTCTTATAAGCATTTAATGAAGATACAGCAAAGCTGATGCCAGTAGGAAATCAAAAGGCCTTCCAGGTAAATCTGCTTGTCTGGTTATGGCACAGGGACATGCTTATTTTCTGCTGTGGTACAAGACTCTTTGATCTAAACTAACCTGTTTCCCAAATCCTGCTGCCCTGTCTTGTGCTCAGATGGTCTCCCCTCACCTCCTGCAGTGCTCAGTTTGCAGCAGAAACACTGACTGCATGCAGTGTGTGCTGATGGGACATGGTTAGAGTGTGACTTTAGGAGAGTGGGTATGAGAACTTGACCTGTCTCCTTTTCATGCATGACAAAATTACAAAGTGAGAAAGGTTCTGTGGCTCTTCCCCTTGCCTCCCTCTCCTCACCCCTCCCTGTACAGGAAGGACAGGACGTTTGTGCTAAGCCATAAATACAGAGGTCACTCCATTGCACTTTCTCTCTTGTTATGCACAGCTGGGTGGAGTAAATCTTCCATAGCAAGGAACAAGTATTTTAGGGACTACTTTATCACTTTTCAAAAGTCCAACTCTTGCATATCACAGAGCTTTCTGAAACCTTCCTCAGGGGCAGATGAGGTGACACCAATTTTTTTACTTGTACAGTCGGGTTCCCACAAGAACTGAGTTGATTTTGTGGATCCTTTAGCAGTGTCTGCCATGAGTTTCAGTGACTGGGACTATCGTTATGTGTTTCAGAAAATGCATGGATACTTACACAAATGTTACTTGGCAAAGTTAAAAAGCTAGAATTTTGGTATGGTACATGGTATTACCAGATAATTGCTTCCTTTAATCAATTTGCCTTTAATTGACAGCTTTCTGCAGTATCCATGAAAATTAATTGACTAAAATTTGCTCTCAAGCACAATAACATCCTTTGTTCTACTTCTGCTTATCAAAGCCATCTGACACCACCAAGACAAGCTAAGGCACCTTAATTCCCTTCCTTGGTTGGCCAAAATTTCCAACAATTAGCATTGCTGACCTTCCCAATTGCCAAAAACCTCCTGTTTATATGCTGCTCAGATTACCAAAATCCTTTTGAAAGACATACTCTGTCTTTCCACAACAGCCAATGAAATAAAGCAGACTTCTCTAGGTAGATTTCTCACTTAAGGAACATAACTGCAATAAAGGATAATAAGCACATCAATTTAATATATTCAGTTATCTGCTTACCTTTTAGCACCTCAAGAGGGACAAAAGCATAGGAATAGTGAAATAACTCAGTGGAATTCTGAGTGAAACCAGAAGGGAAAATTGATCAAATATAAAGTCTTTCTTCCTCAATATACTTCTGGAGGTTCTATGGGGAAAAGAGCTATTTAGAGATCATAAATCTCTTGTTTTCAAGCCAGTTCCCTGTAGAAGTAATTCATCAGAGATAGTGAGTGACTCTGGGGTACAGTGTATCCACTTGAATGTACCCACTAAAATTGAACGAGCGAGGGCTCCAAATGCAATTAAGAAATACCATGAAGCTTTTCTCAAAATAGTTCATAGAGAAAGTAATGCATGAGCTAACAGAGCTTGTTAAAGCTTGAGATTCAGTTTGGGGAGTGGATGTACTGACCTGTATGTAACATCTTGTCTTTACTATCCCAGTCTCCTGCATGTTCCTGTCCACCACATAACGTTTGCATGAGCAGGAATTAACGTTAACTTTCATTCCTACTGTGGAACCTTTAAAATTCTCCTATGCCTTCTGCAGCTGCTGCAGGCATTTAACCAAGACACCAGTGCACAATGCTGCCTCTCTCTCTGACTAGTCCCTTGCATTGCCTTCAGTCCAGCAAGGGTAAAGCAGTTCTAACATGCAGCAGGCTTTCTAACAAGCATTGTAACTCAGACCACTCAGCTGTGGTCTGTGGATCATCAGCCTGGCTCACAGAGCCCTGCTTAGGGTGAGCTGGAGCATAGCACTGGCACTGCTTCCTTTTATTCTGCTTCTAAATTGCATTAGTGTCAGCAAAATTACTCTAAATACTAATAACTTCCTCATAGTTCATTTCCATGTGAGCATTTGTTGTAGCTGACCCAGAATGTTATATGATTACAAATGAGAGAGGGAAGGTAAGAAAATCCTTAAGAGAGTTTATGAAATAAAATGCAATACACATTCTGAAAGAGTGACAAGTGTTCTAATTCATTCCACTTAGTTACTTGACTCAGGAACTGAACAGCACAGACACATTGCTGTATTTCAGAGGCAGCTGCAAACTTAGCATAATGCCACATAGAAGTATGAATTTTCTTATCATCAATGTGCACAAACTAAAAAGTAGG